AGCTAAATCATACTTGGGCATTGTGATATTGCTTATGATTTATTAAAGCCACTGGAGATCAAAGTTGCAAAGAAGCCATACTCGTTAGCCATAGAAGCCAGGTACACACCTTTAATCCCAGGACTCAGGGTTAAGAGGCAGATGGATCTCTGTGAGTCCAAGACCACCTGGGCTACTGGAGAGTGAATCAGAGCTCACTCCTTTAATTCCATGATTTGAGAGGTGTAAAAGGTAGAGGCACTCAGTCTGAGAGTTAGTCTGTAGCCACACTGAGGGGAGCATAGCCATCTGAGTGAATCTGAGGAGCAGGGATGCTGGGAGCAGTCTGAGGATCTTCCCGCCCCCTCCATCTGAGCTGAGGTAGAGGTAAGAGCTAGTGACTGGAGCTTTGCTTTCCTGATCTTTATCATGCAACAAACAGGACATATACCCAAAGGACATTTCATCCTAGCATAGAGACACTTGCTCAACTAGTCTATTCATAATAGCCAGAAATTAGAAACATCCTAGATGTCCCTCAACAGAAGAATAAAGTAATGTGGTGCATTTACACACTGGAGTATTACTCAGCTGTTAAAGAAAAATTCAAAAAAAAAAAAAAAAGAAAAAGAAAAATTCACAGTTAATTGGATGGTACTAGGAAAAAAAATCCCAAATGTGGTAGATTCAGAAAGACAAATATGGTATGTATATACTTCTATGTAGATATCTACTGTTAAGTCAATGATAACCAAGCTACGAACCATAGAATCACAAAGAGACAAGCTGAGACAGATCTCATCAGGAAGGCAATAGAACTGACAGTTATGGAGAGGTGGGGGAGAGGCGAGGGAGATGAAGGAGTGGATACAGGGAGAAACAGGTTACAATTAAGGGACATTTGAGGGGTAGAATAGACACTATGTTAGAAGCTTCCTAAAATACAACTTATTTGAAGGCAATTTAAATGAAATATGAATATGAATGGCCAAATAATCACCAAAATGAAATCATCAAATTTGTCTGGGACACAGATTCACAAGTGTCAGGGGCCTCCGGCCATCAACCAGATACGTCTGCCTCACGTACTCATAAGAGAAGACGTGACTCAACCCTCAGAGAGAGTACGTGACACTGGACCACCCTGCTACCTCTGCCAAATTCCAGAAACAGGCCTGCAGCTTACTTAGCAGTTAAAGATGCTCAACAGAAAGCCCCCAATTCCATCAGGAGTTAGATGAGGACATAGGAGAGATGGAGACAGATAAAGTAAGAACCTACGGTCAGGTTACCTAGCAACACAGGAGGCTCTACCCCCAAACTTGTGCCCTGTGAATTAGGTTTCCAGGCAGCACAGAGGGCTACCCCTCCCACTGACCTTTGCCCCACCAGGCTCACCGCAGCTGCAGCACATCCCCATTCCTTCCCCTCCTCCCTTCCCTATATAAATCCCTTTGGGTGAAATAAAGGTGTCGCCTTGATCAGACTTCTGTCTTGGCGTCCATTCTTTCCTATCTCCTGCCCTTGTCTTTCCCCTAGGTACCCTCCAGCCCCACGATGAATGTCCCGCGGGTCGGGGCACACAAGTGGATATCTCTTGTCACCAAATGAACCCTGCTGTGGAATATTCCCTTTGTACATTGTGAAGATTTGTCACATGACTGATTTAATAAGCTGACTGGCCAATAGCTGAACAGGATAAAGCTATGTGGGAAAGTCAAACTGAGGATGATGGGCTGAGGAAGGGTGGAGTCAGAAGGCCACCAGTCAGATGGAGAATGGGAGAGAGGTGAAACCACAAGCCTTGGGGCAGCACACAGATGAATGGAGATGGGTTAAGTTGCAAGAGCTAGTTTGACTGTAAGAAACAAACTCTATCTTTCTGTTGTCTACGAGAAACTCATCTTTACAGACAGTTTGAAAGGATGGGGAAGGTATTATAAATAAATGGGACCAGGAAGTGAACAAGTGTCACTACCCTAAGTCTTTTATAAAAGACTTCAAACCAAAGCTAATCAGAGAGACACTTTATTCCAATCAAAGAACAGTTAACCAAGAAGCTGTGAGAATCTCAAATATATACCCACCAAACTGTAGCGCACCCAATTTCATGAAGTGTGTACTACTGAAATTAAAAGCACAGACTAGCACAGACTAGCTTAAACTCAGTAGGCAATTTTAACACTCCATTTTCACCAATTAATAAATAGGTCATATGAACAAAAAAGTGAGTCATGTCAGAATTGAATGAAATTATGCGTCCGTTGACTTAACAGATAGATTGATTAATGGGAAATTCTATTCAAATGACAAAGTATACACATTCTACTCAGCAGCCCATGAAAATTTCTCTAAAACAGACCACATCCTGAACAAAAACCGAATCTTAATAAAATCAGAATAAATTATATAATTCCATGTATCTTATCTGACCACAGTGCACAGTGCAACGAAGCTTAAAATAAAAAACAAACAATTTTCTTACAATTACACAAACTCGGGAAGATTAGACAACACATTACTAAATGATGAATGAGTCAAAGAAATCAAGAAAAAAATTCTTGGAACTAAATGAAAATGAAAACACAGTAAAATAAAGCCTCTGGGAAGACATTAAAAGCAGTCCTAAAAAGGGCAATTTATAACTCGCACCTCCTACATTAAAAAACAGAATGAACATAAATAAATGACTTAATGAACCAATTCAAGAATTTGGAAAAACAAGAACAAACCAAAACAAAGTCCAATATATGGCAGGAAATAATAAAAATCAGGGTAGAAATTAAAGAGATGAGATCAAGGAAAACAACACAAAGAATCTAAGAACTAGTTCTTTGAAAAAATAAGATTGGCAGTCTTTTGGCCAAACTAACCAGAAGAAAAAGATTATCTAAATTAACAGAATCAAAAATAAACAGGCAAATATTACAACAGATACAAAGAAATTCAGAATACTATAAGAGAATTCTTTAACAACTTATACTCCATTAAGTTAGAAAACTTAAAAGAAATGGACAAATGTCTGTATTTATCCAAACCACCAAAGTTCAACCAAGAAAAGTTCACCAATACAGACCCATAAAGTCCTCAATGTCAAAAAGTCCAAGCCTAGATGGATTCATAGTAGAACCAGAATTTCAGGGAAGTACCATAACCAATACTTCTTAAATTATTCAAAGACATAGAAAAAGATGGAATACTTCCAAACTCCAATGAAGTCAGTATCGGTCTACTACCCAAACCAGATAAAGCACCACAAAGAAAGAAAACTTCCGGTCAATATCCCTGAAAGACACAGACACAAAAATCCCCAATATTAACACTTGCAGGTTTAATATAGGCAAATTGTATCCAGGAGACACAAGATGGTTCAACATATTTAAGTCAACAAATGTAATAAATCAGGTAAGTGGATTGAGAAACAAAAACCACATGATCATCTCTGTAACTGCAGAAAAGGTCTTGACAAAGTCCTAGACCTGTGTGAGCAGCAGACTCCATTCCCTTGGGAACTCTAAACTGACAGCTAGCGTCCTGGGCTGTGGAAGCTGCTCTCAGTCCCCTCAGCAGAGTCAGCCAGAGCCTGCAGCAGCTCCCTCTCCCCATTGTGCTGTAGCCTGCTGATGCCATTAAAGCCATAAACAACATGCTTCTCATTTGCTTCTATCCCTCAGTGACCACTTCTGTTGGGTGCCTGATGTCAGTGTCTTAACAACTAATGACAAATGTGCTTTATTATTCCTCTGTCATTGTTTCAGGTAAGAGGGAAACTTAATCCCTGTAGCTACATCTTGCCTGGGAGATCTGTCTTTTCCAAAATGACACATAAATGCTATCAGCCTTTACAGACAAAGCTTAATGAACAGAAGCAAAACCTGATCCTTTAGGTAGACATTAGCAATGGCGCATGGTACTTCCAAGATCTCACACATAATAAATACAACGGAAGAGCATGAATGATATGAAAACAGTTCCTGCATTAAGTCTCCATCAGCATATTTAAGTAAATGTTTTAGAAAGCATTCAGGCTGGAGAGATGGCTCAGTGGTTAAGAGTGAGAGGACTCAGTTCAATTCCCAGCATCCACGTGGCAGCTCACAACTGTGTACAACTCTAGTTCCAGGGCTTCTGACACCTCACACAGACACGTGCAGGCAAAACACCAGTGAACATAAAAAAAGAAAAAGTCTTACATACACAAATCTGATAGCATTCTGTTTTCAGTTACCGAATTTTCGCCATATGATCCTAAATATACATATACCACTAACAAATTACCTCTGTGTATTCTAAAACCAGCAGTTATTTCTAAAAGTCATGTCAAAAGGATGCACTTTTTTTTCTTATTCGGAGCAATAGAATCTATCCTTAGATTTTAAAAAATGGAATATAAGGACATACATCACATTTCAACTTCTTTCCAAACCTCTGACCTGGCTCTCTAGTGTAGAGGCCAGAGGACAGCCTCTGACCTGACTCTCTAGTGTAGAGGACAGAGGACAGCCTCTGGATTGTTCCTTGGGTCCTCTTCACCCGTATTTTCAAACAGGTTTCCTCAGACGGCCGGGAACTCACTGAGTCAGCTAGACTGGCTAGCCAGAGGGCCCAGGAGGCAGCCTGCCACCACCTCTCCAGGGCTATGACTATAAATAAGCAGACTGCTACCTGCCCTGTTTCTGTTTGTTTTAAACAGGTGGTGTGGGCTCTGGGATCAAGCGTAAGTCTCGGCCCAGTTTTCCATCCTACACAGTCATATGCTGAGAACTCTTGAGTAGATGGGGTTCCTATGTTCTACCCGTGTCTGACATGTAGCTGAGCAGTAGTGCTGGCTTCCGCATAGAGAAGCAGGACAAACAGTCTTTTATCTGGGTACTTTCCCTTTACTGTACTACAGGCATTTCATGGAGGCTACATATACATGACCACGTTTCATATCTAAATCGATGGGACTGAACTCTAAAAGCTGTAGAGAAATCAGCGTATTTAAAAGATGTTACCGAAGTCATTCACAACTTGTTCACCTTGCCATTTATGGGCAGCACACAAAGCAGCATCAAGATGCTCATGGAAATTGGAGAATGCACTCAGAGAACGCAGCGAGTCTCAGCAGCTGGCACTTCAGCCTGAGTGACCACAGAGTACCTCATGATACCGACCAACCACTTCAGGAGGTATACAACCTAGACTTAGTTTTCAGTGACACCTAGAGCAGGGGAAACCACAAAGAGGAACTCAGGACAGGTGACACATGAAAAACCCAGGCAAAGCTTGAGCCTGAGGGGCTAATCTGACTGGAAAGGCTTCTTAGCGAAATTCCCCAGAGGTCAGGCTGCAGACACAACCAGAGCTCTTAGGAGTGAGGATAGCATCTGTGTCTCTGCCTCGTAGGCCATGCAGAGGCCCAGATGAGCTGAGTTCAGCTGCTCCTAACAAAACTTACATGTTTTAAATTAGGTTTCAGTTAGACATCTGTGTGGGAGAGTCATGTGACCTGATGCTCTGAGTCAGTCTCTACTTTAAATAGGCCCCTACTTTGGGAAGCTAACAGTTTAGGAACCACCACCCCAGTGGTTCACAGAGAGTGCTGCTGCTTCCCACGAGGCCCTCTGTCCTGTCACTCCAGAGCACTAGGCGGAGGCAGCACCAGACCAGCCCCAGGGCTAGCCTGCAGGGTCTTTCTGCAGCAGCACTGCCCAAGAATTCTTCCCCTGCTTCAGGAAGGAGAGCCAGAGTTTAGGCACTAAACGCACATGAAAAAGACAAAAGACGCTAAAGCTTTAAAAACCAATAAATGTTGTGTGTCCTCATAGCATTCACTGGCCTTTCCTCCCACCAGAATTAGAAAGGACCTTCTGTTGAGGGAGAGGCGGCTACTGCAGAGGCCAGCCCCCACTGAATCAATCCACTGTAGCCTCTGACTAGCTTTGCTTTCACCCTCCACTGTGGGAAACTTAGAGTGAGCATTCTAAAGCTCTTCAGTACTCTCAGTATGAAATCCAAGTCAAGCGACTCCACCCGATTCTCAGGCCCTTTAATCCACTTTCCCTCTGTACTCTGGTACTTTCGCCATGTCTCACTCCATCTTCTCCAACTCATGCTAATCTCATTTAGATGCAGTACTGCAGACTGCACAGCACCACACACCTTCATAACGTGCGCCTGCCTGGCACTGGGTTTTCTAGATAGAATACAAGCTCCTCAAGGGGCCAGAAGATCAGCTTTGTATGGCTTCTGCATTCCTAGCTTCTAGCAGTGTCTGACTGCAGAAATGTTTGTTGAGTGACTGTCCAAGTAAAGTCAGGAAAGGACAGAAAGGAAAAGAGCTAGGCTAGAGAAGGATGGATATATGTATGTATGTATGTATGTATGTATGTATGTGTATATATATATTATATACATATATATGGTTTGAGATGAGATGGTACTAGATAACTCTTTAGTCTAAACATGGTGGCAGTACTTGGCGGGCTAAAACAGAAGGATTATAAATCTGGCCATCCTGGACTACTCGGGGAGACCTTGCCTAGAAGAGACAAATACAATCAACCTACCCCGTCTCTAGTTGATCCTTAGCACAATTAACACGATCTGATATTGATCTCATTTCTAACTTGTAGTAATGATTCCGCCTACTAGGCGCGGCATCAGACCTGGGAACGCACAAATCTTCCTCTTATCATCCTTTTGTCAATATCCTATTTGTTTTAGTAGACTGCACTCTTAGCGCTCATGACCTAGAAGAACTTTTAAAGCTGAGCTTGACTTTGTGAAGGAAGAGCAGCCTCTCACACTCTTCCTTTGGCCACTATGTCACGAGTAAGCCTGCAGCAAATGTGGCATTGCCGGCATTGCTTTTAGAAACCATTAAAACAAATACTTAAAAATACTATAGCCAGCCGGGCATTGGTGATGCACGCCTTTAATCCCAGCACTTGGGAGGAAGAGGCAGGCGGATCTCTGTGAGTTCGAGACCAGCCTGGTCTACAGAGCTAGTTCTGGGACAGCCTCCAAAGCCACAGAGAAACTCTGTCTCAAAAAACCAACAAAAAAATACTATAGCCATTAGTGTAACTAGATGTAATGAAAAGGTCCAAAAGGTGTGAGTTGTGGAACTGAGAATTTGCCACACCAAAAGAGCACATTTCCAGCATGCATGCATGGCAAACGAGAGTCCTGTCTAATCATGCAGTTAATAAGGCTTACACAATGATACATGTTAATTTTCAAGAATTAGACTTCTGTCCCCCAGGAAAAAGATTTCAGTACATTTTCTAAAGGACAGAGCCCCGAGTGACCCTAAATGACTGAAGGAGGCCGTCACCAGTGTCGCATTATGTCACTGATAATCGCTGGAAGAAGTGTCAAACTCTAGAGAGAGAGAGTGGAAAAGACTGAAACCGCAGCTAACACACTGCCCCGCACGCATGGCCAATGCTCATTCACCCACGCACGGCCACAAAGACCCCTTACCTGAAACTGTCACACCACCACCTTCACGGTCTTCGGCCATTTCCTGAACATGAGCTTCTGGGTCCATAACCACCTCTATCCCTGACAACTTTAAAGAAGCTTGTAAAGAAGATGGGGCCTTGACAGTGATAGCGCCTGTGGTAAATTTAGAGTAAAACAATACAAATAAGTCAAATTATAAATTTAATGAAAATACTGTATTTCCCCCTCAGCACACCAGTTAAAGAGCAGTGGATTCTCTTTTTCCCAGGTAGCCAAAGTATCCTCTGAAAACATTCACCGTGACTCTCAAGAGTACAGGCACCAGAACATTATGAACTACTAGATGTCCCTTTGCTAACACCTCTACCCAGCTCATCATTACAAAAAGAAGTAGTAATTTACCACACACGAGGCACAGACAGGACATGCTGTCAACAAGCATTTACAAAGAGCCAGACAGTCACCATCTCAACTTCATGAAGCACCATTATCCCCCAATTTGACTGTGCAGGATCTGCGCACATTCCTACCACATGTGGTGTAGTCAGAGTTAGTGCAATGGCGACAAAGTCTGTGCTTCAGTCGCTCTGGAGTTTCTCACACCGCTACCTCACAGACCAGCAAGACCCATGACCTTACTGCTCACTGTGCCACATGAATCACAGGATCCTGTATGTTTAGTTGTGCCGGGTGTAAGGAAAAAAGCAACAAGATTATTTGGATCCCAACTGACTGATATTCCTTTAGAGTCAGTTACAGACTTTTAAGTACTGTGGCAAAGCACTCAGCTTTATTTTAGAGTAGTCTGCTGGTTGTTCTATAGGAAGAGTTTAAGATTCTAAAGGAATAACTCAGGAAAAGTTCTCCATCAGCTGTGAAATCCCTGTGAAAACAATCTCAGTGGAAGTCACCAGCACACTCCTCCATCAGCTCCATTCTGCTTCTTGTCAAATCTAGAGCCTTCTGCCATGAAGTATCAGCTCATCTCTGGGACAGAGACAGTCAGGATGACAGACACTGCTAACATTCCTTTTAGGATTCACTTATGTGAGGGTCGGTTAGTTTTCCTAAGGGCAGCAGGACGTCTGGGTGAAGATGACTCCTGGGGCTGAAGAGATGGCTCAATGGGTTAGACTCCTCCGCACAAGCTTGAGAGCCTGAGTTGAGACCCCAGAGCTCTTTAAAAACCGACGCCCATGTGTGCTGTAACCACTGCTGGGGAGAAGGGTGGGAGGCAGGAGGACCGCTGAGACTCTCTGGCTGCCAGCTTACCGTAAGGCTCAGTGAGAGGCCATATCTCAAAGAGTGGAGAGCCACAGGGCAGGACACCCAACAACGTCCTCAGGCCGCCATTCACACACATGTGTGCACACACCACACACAAGACTATGAACAGGCCACCATTCACACACATGTGTGCACACACCACACACAAGACTATGAACTCTCCCGTCCTCAGGCCGTCATTTACACACATGTGCACACACACACCACACGCAAGACTATGAACAGGCCTCCATTCACACACATGTGTGCACACACACCACACACAAGACTATGAACTCTCATCATACGAGAGAGAAGGGAGCCAGGTAGTCAAGCCTCTGCATGGTCACCAGCCAATTCTACCCTCTCAAAAGTTCAAAACTGGGAACTCTAATAATGCCACAAACAGAAAGCATACTATGTGAGGACGATTCATCTTCCCTAGGACACGTTCAGCACTCACAGGCAAAGCTGGCTCCCAACAGACTTTCTGAAGGGATGAATAAGGTCATCATCATGCTCACTCTCACAAAGACAGAACAAATGTGCATTTGACATGTCTCCCCCGCCCCCATGGCAAATGGGCGGACCTAAGACACTCAAGTAGCTGGTTCTGAACTCCACTGAAGACGGTGGACAGCAAAGCTGGGACAGACCACCAAGGCTCTTTGTCAACACTAAGCAAAAGTACCTTGAAGAATATGGAGATTGCTTTTTCTAGTTATCTCTAAGCTGCCAGGAACATAGTTGCAGTAGGAAATAACAAAATTACAATTCTAATCAAATGTTGCAATATCATATGCTATTTCAGTACGTTGTTGGAACAATGCTGTAACTAATACTCAAAAATATTTTGAGTGGATGAAGAATGCTAAACTTCAAAGCTAAAAAAAGCACAATACAAGAAATAACATTCACAGAAGAGCTGTTTATTCAAAGCCTTTTTGTTTTTAAATACTGTTACTAGTGACATTCATGGTTAATAATTTCCCCTGTTGGGCTTAATAAGACATTAAAATTGCCAGGCCGTGATGGTGCATGCCTTAAGAGGCAGAGATAGGCGGCTCTCTGAGTTCGACGCCAGCTTGGTCTACAAAGTAAGTGCCAAGACAGGCTTCAAATGCTAACACACACACACACACACACACACACACACACACACACACACACACACAGCCAGATAGAGATATTAAAATTATATGGCCAACACTGAAAATGGCCCCATATATAGGGCCCAATGTTTGAACCCTTGGTGCCCAGTTGGTGGAACTGTAGGAAGGATTAGGTGTGGTCTTGTTGAGGCAGTATGTCACTGCAGGCAAGGCAGACTTTGAGGTTTCAAAAGCCCACACCCTTCCCAGCTAGCCCTCTCTGCTTGTGATGAAGATGTAAGCTCCCAGCCACTGCTCCAGTGTCAGGCCTGACTGACTGCTGCCATGCTCCCCACATGATGATCATGGACCCTTAAAGCTTTGAAACTGTGAGTCCCAAATCAATGGTTTATTTAATAAGTTGCTCTGGTCATTGTGTCTTATCAGAGCAATAGAAAAGTTACTAAGACAAAGCAGTTTTGTGAGGACAAAATTGATTTTGTGTGTCAACCTGACACAAGCTGGAGTCATCAGCAGAAGGAGCCTCAGCTGAGGAAACGCCTCCATGAGGGCCAACTGTAAGGCATTTTCTCATTTAGTGATCAATGGTGGTGGTGGGAGCAGCCCATGGTGGGTGGCGCCATCCCTGGGCTGGTGGTCCTGGGTTCTATAAGGTGAAATAAACAAGCCATGGGAATGAAGCCAGTAAACATCTCCCCTCCATGGCCTCTGCATGAGCCCGTCTCCAGGATCCTGCCCTGCGTGAGTTCTTGTCTTGACTTCCTTCAGTGATGAACAGCAATGCTGAAGTGTAGGCCTACTAAACCCTTTCCTCCCCAACTTGTTTTTGGTCATGGTGTTTGCAGCAATAGAAACCCTGACTAAGACAAAGACCATGCCCTGAGAAACCACACCTGTGTGTCAGCATGCACTTCAGTTCCAGCCCGTGTTCAGTAGCTCTCCACTGACTCGGGAAAGCACGTGACTGGACAGAAGACTGTCACGTGACTCAGAAATTAACAGTAGCAGGAACCAGATTCTGAGAGGAAATACCACCTTTGCAATATGCAGTCCCATCCCAGCCAATACACAGATTCTATATGCTGTTCTTAATCCTTTTACGTCTTTCACACAGAAGTACAGTTCCTAACTTCCTGCACCTCAGTCCATACAGTCGAGTCATGCTTTCACTTGTTACCATGCACATGTGTGTGTCTACATGTAGAATTAGTTTTCAGAGGGATAAAAGTCTATTTAAGGTGACTATTTAGATGCATACAACTCACATTCAGCTTTCCAATGGATACAAGAATACAACTTTAAATAAAATACTTGACTAAGTTATCTAGATGAGAAATTATATAGACAAGTACATCAGAACTCTGCTTTGGGGACCTTTACGGGGTGCTTCAGGACCACACTTTGAAGGCTACTGTTCAACAGTGACAGCAGGGGAGGTTCTCTACAGGATGGCAAGGAAGGCTAACTTAGAGACTTCCCTACAAAGAACACTCTATTTCCTACATGACAAAACCAAAAGATCCACACAGAACATTAGAAACTCCACAGTAGCAGTCAAAATAGAACACTATTTTGCCCTATAAAAAGAGAGTTTGTCTTCATGGCCACCTGTCCTAAACGTAAAGATTTCTGCTTCATTTAGGGAGCTCAATGCCAGTGGTTTAACTCAGGATCTAACAGAAGAAAATTTCTTGTGGCTAATCTGCCCATCATTCTTTCCTCACACTACACATCAAGCATAACATTCCAGTCGGCTCACCTTCCTGTGACGTCAGTGCCACTTCCCCCAGCTGGCTGACATAAACATCTATGGCACCCTGATGACTTGAGGCCTTCAGACATCCTGAGGACGAACCTGGGAGAAAGACAATTGTAACCATGATTGGTCTAAATGGAATTATAAACTTGAAATAAAAGGCCCTGCTTTGACATATGGGTAAGAACCTATAAACCTTGCAAAGCTTTGCATTTTTCTCATAACAATGGCATTATTTTTATCAAAATGTAAACATATTAGAAATTTAGAAACATACACCTAGACGACTATTAAAACTATCTACAGAACTCCGAATATGCATTGCTTCTTAGAATTTTAATTTAAGGTTTTATGTGTATGGTTTTTTTGTCAGCAAGAATGTCTATGTACCACCTGCATGACAGGTACCCACAAAAGCCAGAAGAGGACATGAGGACATTGGGCCCCTTGAACTGACATTACAGACAGTTAGTTATGGGTGCTAGGAATCAAACCAAGACCTCGGAAGAACAACCAGTGCTCTTAGCCTGAGCCACCGCTCCGGTTCCACAGCTCATCTCTTAAAACCTGACTGTAGGAAGGATGGCATGTCACAACTGACAGCCAATGACAAGCCGGAAAGCATGGCGTTCACTCTCAAGTTGGCAAATTTAGTAAACTTCCAGTGTCAAAGATGTTTACCCTGTGCTCAGTCTATATAAACAGGAGTGAAGTTAGTGAGAAATCAAAACACTTCACATCTTCTTTCAGCAAACCTGCTGTGCAGGAGCAACAGTTATCCACATGAGGGCTGACTGCATTTCTTGGAGGGGCAGCAAGGGTGTAGAGCAATAACAGGAAGAGGGGAAGGCTATTTCCTGTTTTCATCTAATACTTCTTTGCAGAAGTTTCTGATTTGAATAGGAATTTTCAAGTAAGGGTAAGAAAACAAAATAATAACTAAGTTAATCTTTATATGAACTCAAACTTCCCAATGTTGTCAATGACTCTTTAAAGCAACAGTTTAAAGTCAAGGGGAAACAAAGCCAGACAAAGAAATTGGAGAACAACTTGAAATGTCAGTGCTAAGGGTCATCTACCCTAACCCCCATGGCCACCAAAACTTAATTGTCACACCCAGCCTGACTGTCCCCATAAGGGCAGAGAACACTCTTTTCAGGGGCCTCTTTTTTTTTTTTTTTTTTTTTTTGGTTTTTACGAGACAGGGTTTCTCTGTATTGTTTCGGAGGCTATCGGTCCAGCCCGGCCTCGAACTCACAGAGATCCACCTGCCTCTGCCTCCCGAGTGCTGGGATTAAAGGCGTGCGCCACCACCGCCCGGCCTTTTCAGGGGCCTCTTAAAAGAACATTTTATCAAGAGATTTTACTACTTCAACTGAGAAGAGAACTAGGAACTGTGGTGAAAATTATGTGAGAGATAATACTTTTATAAAATATGGAGAGAAAATATATTATCCACAAAGGCAGTGTTTCTCTTTAAAATTTTAAGTAACCTTAATCAAACTTTGAAGTGAAATATTCAAGATCTGGCATAATTTGTCTCCAATCTACACCAAAGTGTCCTTTATCAGACCTCAATTATTAGTTTCCAAGTGTCAAAAGTAAATGCCAGCATAAGTAAATGAAGACATTAGGTAAATGATAGGAGACAGAGACTGGCTACGTCATTGCTAGGTAAGTTCCAACAGAAACTTCATTAAAACCCTTTTATTAAACCCTAAAAGAAGCCATGTGTAAAACAAACATGTAGGCTATCTAATGTGTGCATGTATCATTCTGTCTTGAAGTATTTGATAATTAGTTTGACTTTCTTTCTGTGGGGAAGGGGAACCCTACAAGAATGTTAGGTGATCTACAAATAATTCTTTCATTCCCTTCACCATGGGGGAAAAACTGTAAGTTACAAAGTAATTATAGTGGAATGTTATCAGTCTTGAGTTTTGTTAATGTTTCATTTTTAAAAGCTGTCAAAAAACTCAAGATGCATTTTAAAAAGAGAAAGCAGACATGACATTTCAAACCTATGCAGCAAACACAAAATATCAAAAATAAAAACATGTTTGCTTATGTAAGATCTACACAATAACAGCACCAATTGACATTCCAATGTGGGTGGGGAATCTCACAAGAAGAGATGTAGTCAACACATGGCTGTGGACAGGACAGGAAGTCTTCTGCAGGAATGAGTCCATGGTAGGTTATCTTATCCCAGTCAACCCTAAACACGCACGCACGCACTCACAAACACCCCACCACACCAAGTGGACTCAGCAGGCTGTATTTAGACATACATGGGTGTGTGTGTGTGTGTGTGTGTGTGTGTGTGTGTAAAATAATAAATAAAGAAGAGGTCATGAATTTGAGGGAGAGGCATCTAAGGAGTTGGTAGGGTTAAGAGAATGGGGTGGGAATGATGTAAATACAAGTACTCATGTATTGAAAAACTGATAGTTTGCATTTTTAAAAGGTATGCAGCAAAACCAACTTTCTATAATACAAAATACAGAAATGAAAACTAGTCATCAAGAGCAAGATGAAGGCTTTCTCCACAAGAATTCCATACTTTAAAGGTGAAGACGTTCTACAGCTTGTGGGGAGGTCTTATGGGAGCAGGCAAGAGAACAGAGACTATAGATCAGACGGGCAGGTACCAGACCCCCACAGAGAACTAGGTACAGCTAGAATTCTGAACATATAGCTTACTGTCTGACAGAGTCCACTGAGTTGTTTTATCTTTAATTTCTCAAAAGAGAAATACCGATTTCAACTACCAGCTTAACACCAGACTCAAGCAAAGAAACATGCATTTGTAACACATATTTTGTTGACAGGAGAAAAACAAGTAAGCTTGAAAAGCTAACATTTTAAATGTGTTGTTTTCTTTTAGATCAATGGAAAATTTTTCTCAAAATTGGACATGCATGTTCAAACCAAGTTTTTAATATTCTTAAACTTCAACTTTCAGGCTATAAAGGAGGAACGAGTTGTTTGCTGACTGAGATACAGAGTACAGGGGCATATAAGAGTTTGAAAAGGTAGAGTTTTAAGGCCACTTCAATTTTCTATGCGGTCCCCTCTAGGCATTCCGTAAGTAGGAAGGGGTAACCAGGCCTCTGGGAGATGTGTGAGGCAAACTGCACTCAACTTTTCAAAGGATGAAACAACCCCTGAAGAGTTAGCAGGGAGCAGACAAAGTGGAGCGAGGCAAGCGATCCTGCCAGCGCTCCCATCCCACCAACAACACATTGGCCTTGCTTCTCCTGCTCCCTCATTTTAACTTCAGGATGGTCTTGTCTCAGAAAGAGAGATACTACATGTCATTGGTAGCTTTATTATTCTTTTTGCTCTTTGCTCTTTTGAGGGCCCAAATAAATACATGGAGACTTATTCTTACTTATAAACACCTGGTCTTAGCTTGGTTTGTGACTAGCCATCTTTTCTCAACTTATCCCAACTACCTTTTGCCTCTGAGCTTTTACCATTCTCTTACTTCTATAAATCTTACTTTCATTCTTACTCCCTGGCGAGCTGGGTAGCTGGCCCATAGTGTCCTCCTCTCCTAGTTCTATCGTTCGTCCCCTGTTCCCAGGTTTCTCCTATTTATCCTCTCTATCTGCCCAGCCCCGCCTATCCTTGCTCCTGCCTCACTACTGGCTGTTTGGCTCTTTATTGGGTGTTTTAGACAGGTCAAGTAACACAGCTTCACGGAGTTAAACAAACGCAGCATATACAAAAGCAACACATCTTTACATCATTAAACAAATGTTCCAGAGCATAAATGCAAGACACCTTAAAATAATATTCCACAACACTGCAGGCTGAGCAAGTTGAACTTGAACAAGTGATACCCATCCTCTGGACCTTCTGGTTATGACAGAGCTCCAAGTCCACATACACAAGGTTCTAAGATACAGTCTCACTTCATCTACCACATCCTCAGAAATGCTGAACCCACTCCATATTTAAGCCTTGTTCTTGCCACCCCTCTTTGTGGGAGCTCTGAATGCTACCAGCCTTTCAGTTGGTACCTTGGTAGCCTCATGAAAAGGTCCCTCCTCTTCCTGGCCGCCTAACTACAGTGATGTCCTTTTCCCTGAGCCAGCTCCACCCCATCACTGATTTCCTCATCGCACTTATGCTGACCTGAAGTCACCTTTGCTACTCACATGACTATTCTTTCCTTTCTGGCACTCACAGGTGACAGCTCCTACACAACATGAGTAGTCTTGTTGACTAACACAGTCCCTAGTAGCAAAAGAATTCCTGACGTCTAGCAGACACTCACAAACACAGATGAAAAGGTGTTGGTGCTTGACTTCAAATGATAACAGTTTTGGAGACAATTTATATATATATATACATGTACATGTATGTAACATACCTTTCTTTCAAAGAGTTAATTAGCTATTTAAAGAACTCAAGACATTTATATGTTTTTTTTTTCTTAATACTAGGTCCGGGACATTTTCTCTAAGCCAACACATTCATACTTGACCTTCATACATGACCTATGTAGCAAGTGAGGCTTGTGAGACAGAGTATAGATTTTAATAAAACGTCACAACTACAGATGGTATAAGCCATTACCAACCATCAGCTTAAACACTTACCAACTGTAATATTACCCATCTTGCTTTGTAATGTGACATTTCCTGCAAAAGAGAGAAAACAAGAATTTCAAATTACCAGGGATAATGGAGAAGGAGCTGTGTTATAAAGAACCCTAATGCATAGCTATACATTCACAATGCCATTTAATACTGTAGTGGTCATTTTTGTCAGTATCAGAAATCCAGTTCTGAAACAAATGACTTTAGGCATACGATCTCCACCTCTCTTCCCACACTGAAGGTTTTATAGCATAGCTATGAAACAACCACACTCTCCACATTTTCAACCTAAACATCAACATCAGCTCATTAATTAGACCACACAAAGCCAAACATTAGCCAAGGAACACAATTTTTTCATGGAAATGTTTTTTGTTTGTTTGTTTTGTTTTTCAGGCCAGTTGCCACATCTGTTGATTTCCACTATGCAATCAAAATACATTTTCCAAAACTATGATAGGGTGGTGCAACCATTCTTCTCCGCCTCTTAGTTTAAAAACAGAACTGTTCTCATATGTGGGATTGTAGGTACAAGTAATCCTAGAATCAGAAATTCATAGCTTCTCCCTCCAATGTATGCAATAACATTAGCTCTTCTAATATAATCCAAAACTACAGAAACAAGGAATAACCTGAATTCAAAATTAATCAATTCAATTTTAAGTCAAAACTGATCAATCAGTTCAAAATTACATTATATATTTTGCAATATACTAGTATGCCAATTTCTGGAAAAAGCAAAAAGAAAGACACGATTCATTTGGCCAATAGTCAAACATGATGGCAAAAATGCTTGTAATGGTCTAACATTCCCCCACACGTCAAGTGAGTACAGAACAAGGGGGACATTTAAGGATAAGAGCGTGGATCCAGTGGAGCCCACAAAATTATTGCATGTCTTAGGACATTCCAAGGCTTTGAGTACTTTGTTAAATGTGTTAGTAAACATTACTTCATTGGTGTGCTCTCTATACTCTTCCAATTTTCAAACCCAGTAAATACAGTCTCACCAAGAGGTCTCTGGCTGACAGGATGAGCTGCACTCTGATGCCAGGCATGGGGCCATATTTACCTTGCTGAACACTGACAAGAGCTCACAGCCCACAATGACATCGTGATTATAAGCCTAGAGGAGATCTTAATCAGAGACCCAGCCAGCCAGGCCACCCTAAAACTAAGACAGTTTTACAGCCACTTAGCTAGTGAGTACAAACACCAATATACACAAGAAAACTGAGCCCTATACACTTAAAATAGTCTTAAATCAATGTAGCAAAATATTATCTTTAAATGAAAATATGATCCTCTCAAACTTGGTTGAGATATGAAGTCTTGAGAAAATGACTATTACAGCTATAAAACAAAAGCTTAAAATCCACATAGAATGAAGACTACTTCTCATTATAGTGACATGTATGTAATAATACCCCTCTTGAATAGTAGAGTTCTACTATACAGTAAAAAACATAATGGAACAAGAAGCTGCGAATCTAAAGAATGGTTATAAAGAGTTGCTGAGAGGTGGTGGCACACACCTTTAATCCCAGCACTTGGGAGGCAAAGGCAGGCGGATCTCTGTGAATTCAAGGCTAGCCAGAGCTACACAGAGAAACCCTGTCTCAAAAGCCAAAAAAAATTTTAGTAATGACTAAACAACAAAAATGTGCATGCTTACACACACACACACACACACACACACACACACCAATAATAAAGAAAAAGGGACTTAATTTGAGATTGGGAAACATAAGACAGGTTGAAGGGAGGAAAAGTTAGGGGAAGGTGATATAATTAAATATTAATTAAAATATTTTAAAGACAAAAAATTTTCAATTCACACCAAAATGTTTAGAAAATCTCTACCTTAAACAGAACTATTCCAGACTCATCAGAATATACAAAATGAACTTCTATCTTAGCTATTTTATGGAATAGAGCAGAATACATTTTCATTGGTGTAGTCCATTATCATCAAGGCAGCATGCAGGCAGCCATGGTGCTGGAGAGCTAGCTGAGAGTCCTACATCTTGATCTTAAGCATATGAGACGTCACCTCCACACTGACACACTCCCCCAACAAGACCTCACCTCCTAATAGTGCCACTCCCGCTGGGGGCCATTCCCTTCAAACCACCACACCTTTGGGTGATTTGAGGAGGTAGTACAAGGAGAGATGGGAAGCAAAGCCCTCGCTATGCTATCTGCAAGTCACAACTTCTCAGATTTGGGAAACAAAACATGACCCTTTCTCTTGAGGGGTATAACTAGCAACAATTTATAGATAATGGAAAACCAGGAGAATAGAAGAGTATTTTATCCAAGTACTGGAAGATGAGAGAAAGAGAGAGAGAGAGAGAGAGAGAGAGAGAGAGAGAGAGAGAGAGAGAGAGAGAGAGAGAGAGAGAGAGAGTTAAAAAAAGCCGAGCAATGCATTTCACATAGACTATAAAGGGCATGATCATGATTATCAAAGGCTCTGATTCAGGCCTCAGAGGTATAAAACAGAAAAGTGAGAATTCATATCACTCTGATGGCAGAGTCCCAGGAGGAGTCAGAAGGGCTTCAGAACAGTGTGTTCAGTGTGTGCTTCTAATGAACCACTACTGTTACATGAGGAGGATGGGTTTGAAAAGGCCAAGGCTGGAGGCAGAACCACTGCCTGGGTAAAAGCTGCCAGAATCTGCGGCAGGACAGAAATCAGAAGAAAAAAGACGGGGTAGGAGCCGGGCGGTGGTGGCGCACGCCTTTAATCCCAGCACTCCGGAGGCAGAGGCAGGCGGATCTCTGAGAGTTGGAGACCAGGCTGGACCAACAGCCTCCAAAACAATACAGAGAGACCCTGTCTCGTAAAACCACAAAAAAAAAAAAAAAAAAAAAAGATGGGTAGACTAAAGAAACATTTGGGTGGTTTATAACACTTAAACTTAGTGACTGAGAGAGATGAGAGGTCATGGATTCACAGCATGGGGAGCGGGGTACATGGTAACATCACAACCTGCAAGTGTAAATAAAGGAGACTTTGTGGATGAGGTCAGGAAGCTGGGGAAGTGGGGGAGGGGGGACGTCAGAAATGTCGACTTCGAGACGACTGTGAAGGTCCATGTGTACCAGTGAGGTGTGCACATTGCAGGTCAGGGCTGGAGCTACAAACTAAGTCATCAGATACAGTGTACCTAAGACTCAAAGTGCAAATGACGGGGCTGCAGAGACGCCCGCCATCCTGGAGAAGCAACTAAAGACATGTCAGACTGCCAGTGTCCACAGACGCCCGTGTGCGTCTCTCCTGCCACCTCTGCAACTAGACAACATCTGTAGACACTCTGCCCACAGACATACAGGAGTAATGCACACGTGCCTAGCCCAATTTACCAAAAAGCTTTTTACTCAGAGTTGTGTAAAAAGGGTTTTCATCTCTAACTGAAAGGAGAAATGAGTTTAAACCTTAAGAAAAAAACCACACTAAATAAATGCCAAACAGGCAGGTCTTAGAATATATTTTCAAAATTATCTATTTTAAATAGCTATTTTAAAATAGCAACATATTTTCTCATAAAAAAGAGTTACAGGAGCCTAAGCTAGCTTGTTTAGATACAGCCAATATACATGTAATTTGTGTTACACAACCACCTGGGTTCACTGAAATTATGTTCAGGGTCTTCCTAGGGCGTGGAACCTCACCTGCATCTCCATCTCCATCCGACCTTCAACAGGACACTCCTGCAAGCTCTTGGAACCAGGATGGAGGCAGGTAACAAGGAAGGAGGAGCAGGAAACTTAGGCTCCTCCATGCTCTACAACATCAAAGCTCGGGAGTAAGGGATGGGTGACGGTTCCTTCCTAACCTCTCTCTTGTGTGCACCGAAACAACCAAGCAGACTGAGACCAAAGGACAGAGGGGAAACTGGCTGGACTACATGGAAGCAACCGAATCACATTTCCCTGCTCCTGCTCCCTGATGCACCAGAGATAGAAAAGGGGTTGTGAGAACGCTGCTTTGACACGGGGTGATAGGAGACACTGGAGAAGGGTGGGAGACCGAGGAAGTGCGATGGAATCCCTCCCATGCAACTGTGTGTTCTTTAAAGGTGGTGTCATTTCTTGCCCAACTCTACACTCCGGGTGCTTAGATACGTGGCACACAGTAACCAGTCAGTAACTGTGCTGAGTGAGTAAACTTAACTGTAGCAGAGGCTAGGATTCCTCATGCAGAGCTCCCGTCACAGCTCTCTGCAGACAACCTTCTTTGGAAACTGTCTCAACTGAAGACAGACGCTGGCCCAAGATCACACTCCTTCCTGGAGCAGCTGGGACCCAGAAACCCGGGATATAAAACTCCAGTTTCCTCGCTACAATCTGAGACAACTTCAGAGCTTCAGAGCTGCACCGGGGATGGCAGGTCTGTCATGGTCCTGCTTCTCTGTGGGGACTGTACTCCTTGACAAGGACGGGGCCAAAAAGTTTCTGCAGGAAACACAGGCATTCTCATCTCCATCTCAGGGTTCTATGTTCAGGGAAGCTCTACTAAAGACAGTACCGCAGAAGAGACTTAGATCTAAGCCACATAAGGAAGTATACTTGATTTCACAGTAAAGTCTGTAAATATGCAAAGGCTTTACAAAAGCAGAAGGCTGAACTCTTGTCCCTAACAATATTTATTCCAGTTATGTTCATCATTAGATCTAGAAATGTGCTCATTAGTGGTAAGTTTCCATAAGTTCCATTCTGCTTGTCTTAAAGTCAAAGAAATAAAATATTAATTAACCATTAATTCACTAAGTATAAACATGGTATAAAGCAGAATAGAAAACAGCTATTTTTCCTGTAGTGTATGTCAATCAGTATCTAACTTGGTAAGGAATTGTTTCACACAAAAATCTACTTGTGTTAGGTATAATGCCTTAATTAAGATCACCATAGAAATGTAATGCTTATTAGAAGTCATTCAAAATATGAAATTACAAATTATTACTATTTCACTGCTGCATTACAACTACTTAGAATTAAATGCACCCTGAACAATAACAAAAAGATAAGAAAACCATTCGTTTTATTAGGATGCAGCTCTGCTCTATTTTAGGTTCAATAATGTTATCAGTGTAGGGATTGCTGAGCTTAGTCATTTACACTGCAGGAAAAAGATTATTCTAATCACCAAAGCGCTCTCTCTCTAACAGAAGACCACCTGCAGATTTGTTAGTGGCTGGCATGACTAGCACTAGTCAATCCTAATACAACTTCACTTATACTCACTACTAAAATGACAGAGTGCTGCAAAATGTATAGACACCAATATTCAGCCTTACTAAAAAGTGAAATGAGCGGACCATCTATGGAAACACGTTCAAGTCCACACTTCCTGAAACATGGCCCAACAAACCAGCATGTGCAGATGTGTGCATGTGTATGTGCAGACCAGTATGTGCAGATGTGTACATGCATATGTGCAGATGTGTACATGTATATGTGCAGATCAGTATGTGCAGATGTGTACATATGTATGTGCAGATGTGTACGTGTGTATGTGTAGATGTGCATGTGCGTATGTGCAGATGTGTACATGAGTATGTGCAGATGTGCAGTGTATGTGCAGATGTGTACATGCATATGTGCAGATGTGCAGTGTGTATGTGCAGATGTGTACGTGCGTATGTGCAGATGTGTACATGCATATGTGCAGATGTGCAGTGTGTATGTGCAGATGTGCAGTATGTACGTGTGTATGTGCAGATGTGCAGTGTGTATGTGCAGATGTGCAGTGTGTATGTGCAGATGTGTACGTGTGTATGTGCAGATGTGCATGTGCGTATGTGCAGATGTGCAGTGTGTATGTGCAGATGTGTACGTGTGTATGTGCAGATGTGCACGTGCGTATGAGCAGATGTGCAGTGTGTATGTGCAGATGTCCGGTGTATATGTGCAGATGTGTACGTGCATATGTGCAGATGTGTACGTGCGTATTTGCAGATGTGTACGTGCGTATGTGTAGATGTGTACGTGCGTATGTGCAGATGTGCAGTGTGTATGTGCAGATGTGTACGTGCGTATGTGCAGATGTGTATGTGCATATGTGCAGATGTGTACGTGCGTATGTGCAGATGTGTACGTGCATATGTGCAGATGTGTATGTGCGTATGTGCAGATGTGCAGTGTGTATGTGCAGATGTGTACGTGCATATGTGCAGATGTGTACGTGCGTATGTGCAGATGTGTACGTGCGTATGTGCAGATGTGTACGTGCGTATGTACAGATGTGCAGTGTGTATGTGCAGATGTGCAGTATGTACGTGTGTATGTGCAGATGTGCAGTGTGTATGTGCAGATGTGCAGTGTGTATGTGCAGATGTGTACGTGCGTATGTGCAGATGTGTACGTGCGTATGTGCAGATGTGCAGTATGTACATGTGTATGTGCAGATGTGCAGTGTGTATGTGCAGATGTGCAGTGTGTATGTGCAGATGTGTACGTGTGTATGTGCAGATGTGCATGTGCGTATGTGCAGATGTGCAGTGTGTATGTGCAGATGTGCAGTGTGTATGTGCAGATGTGTACGTGTGTATGTGCAGATGTGCAGTGTGTATGTGCAGATGTGTACGTGTGTATGTGCAGATGTGTACGTGCGTATGTGCAGATGTGCGGTGTGTATGTGCAGATGTGCGTGTGTATGTGCAGATGTGCGTGCGTATGTGCAGATGTGTACGTGCGTATGTGCAGATGTGCAGTGTGTATGTGCAGATGTGTACGTGCGTATGTGCAGATGTGTATGTGCGTATGTGCAGATGTGCAGTGTATATGTGCAGATGTGTACGTGCATATGTGCAGATGTGTACGTGCGTATGTGCAGATGTGCAGTGTATGTGCAGATGTGTACGTGCATATGTGCAGATGTGTACGTGCGTATGTGCAGATGTGTACGTGCATATGTGCAGATGTGTACGTGCGTATGTGCAGATGTGTACGTGTGTATGTGCAGATGTGCATGTGCGTATGTGCAGATGTGCAGTGTGTATGTGCAGATGTGTACGTGTGTATGTGCAGATGTGTACGTGCATATGTGCAGATGTGTACGTGCGTATGTGCAGATGTGCAGTGTGTATGTGCAGATGCAGTGTATGCAGATGCGCGGTGTGTATGTGCAGATGTGTACGTGCATATGTGCAGATGTGTACGTGCATATGTGCAGATGTGCAGTGTGTATGTGCAGATGTGTACGTGTGTATGTGCAGATGTGTACGTGCGTATGTGCAGATGTGTACGTGCGTATGTGCAGATGTGTACGTGTGTATGTGCAGATGTGCATGTGTGTATGTGCAGATGTGTATGCAGATGCGTGTATGTGCAGATGTGTACGTGCATATGTGCAGATGTGTACGTGCATATGTGCAGTGTGTATGTGCAGATGTGTACGTGTGTATGTGCAGATGTGTACGTGCGTATGTGCAGATGTGCAGTGTGTATGTGCAGATGTGCGGTGTATATGCGCAGATGTGTACGTGCGTATGTGCAGATGTGTACGTGCGTATGTGCAGATGTGCGGTGTGTATGTGCAGATGTGCAGTGTGTATGTGCAGATGTGTACGTGTGTATGTGTAGATGTGTACGTGCGTATGTGCAGATGTGCAGTGCGTATGTGCAGATGTGTAGTGCGTATGTGCAGATGTGTATGTGCGTATGTGCAGATGTGCAGTGTGTATGTGCAGATGTGTACGTGCGTATGTGCAGATGTGTACGTGCGTATGTGCAGATGTGTACGTGCGTATGTGCAGATGTGCAGTGTGTATGTGCAGATGTGCAGTATGTACGTGTGTATGTGCAGATGTGCAGTGTGTATGTGCAGATGTGCAGTGTGTATGTGCAGATGTGCATGTGCGTATGTGCAGCTGTGCATGTGCGTATGTGCAGATGTGCAGTGTGTATGTGCAGATGTGCGGTGTGTATGTGCAGATGTGTACGTGCATATGTGCAGATGTGTACGTGCGTATGTGCAGATGTGTACGTGCGTATGTGCAGATGTGCGGTGTGTATGTGCAGATGTGCGGTGTGTATGTGCAGATGTGCGGTGTGTATGTGCAGATGTGTACGTGCGTATGTGTAGATGTGTACGTGCGTATGTGCAGATGTGCAGTGTGTATGTGCAGATGTGTACGTGCGTATGTGCAGATGTGTACGTGCGTATGTGCAGATGTGCAGTGTGTATGTGCAGATGTGTACGTGCATATGTGCAGATGTGTATGTGTGTATGTGCAGATGTGCAGTGTGCATGTGCAGATGTGTACTGCGTATGTGCAGATGTGCGGTGTGTATGTGCAGATGTGCAGTGGGTATGTGCAGATGTGCAGTGTGTATGTGCAGATGTGCAGTGTGTATGTCGGATGTGCAGTGCGTATGTGCAGGTGTGTACGTGTGTATGTGCAGCGTGTACGTGCGTATGTGCAGATGTGCACACACTGACCGTACTTCTTTCAAGGACTAGGTGGGTCTTAATACTGTTCACACATGTTTCAGAAAATACACCTGATTTGCATCCTCTGCCTGTGGAATCACAAGGAGGCAGAAAGACACTGACCACAGCAGCCTTCAGCCATATGTGTTTTCTCTTTTTCTGCCCATGCTGTCTATAAACAGTAACTAAGTAATGCTGCTCTCTGTGGAGATACGTTTGGGACATCACAAGAAGTTGCCAAGAGGCAGAGGCAGGTGGATCTCTGAGAGTTCGAGGTCAGCCTGGTCCACATGCTATGAGGACCCCTGCCAGTACCAATTCACATTAATACATTGTACCCAAAATTAGCATCAGAGTTTATATAATTTGATCTACCCAAACATTTAACTCACTTAACTGTTACCTCTCCTATCCTGAAAAGTAACCACTAAGAGTCCAATATTTATTAATGCTGCTTTTATTTCATCTCTTGGATATTGTTTTTTCTTATAAAATACATTTAAATATCACAGCTACTGTGGCTGGAGAGATGGCAAGCACATGTATATATGTACATACTACCCATGCACACACACAATATAAAACAACAAAAATCTTTTTCAAAAATCAGAACTACTATTAGCTTCATATATAACAGCATGATTTTCAAATTCTTGTCAAAATAAAGTTGAATTAGCTTGTAAGTTTATTTTCACAAATTTTTAAAAGGATGGCTAGCTTGCAGTTGATTATCTAGAAGGCCAGTTTCCTGATCCTTCTTAAACAGTTATCCCTTAAATTTTATGCTATGTGGAAAGTTTGAGATACACTAGGCTTTTGTCAGCTTACCGTGAACATTTCCTAGTGCAATATCCCCGGTAGCAGAAGTCAGAAATGACGATTCTGTATAAAGAGACTTGACTTTCAGCAAACCATCCTCTGTAGATATATTAACACAACTTCCCTGAAGTTTATCTATGGTCACAGTCTGGGAAAAGAGAGACTGTAATCAGTTCATTATAAAACAAATTGTAAACAACCATACAGTTCATCTAGAGCAGCAGTTCTCAACTTGTGAGTCCAAACCCCCCAGGGGTCACATTTCAGATAACTGCATATCAGATGTTTACATCACAGTTCCTAACAGTAGCAAAATCACAGTTATGAAGTAGCATGGAAATAATATGGGAACTGCATTGAAGGGTCGTAGCATTAGGAAGGGTAGGGGCCGCTGATCTAGAGTGATGACCAACTCCATGAGAAGTGCAGTCACCTTGCCACTGGGCTCCCTGGCTCTAGCTGTCGAGATAGTGAGCAGCATGCATTCTCTGTAGAACAGAGAACAGAGTCAACACACCACTCTCCATTTCTTTATGCCTTCTTCAGCTTCCTTAACAATGCTTTACGTTTTCTTTGTAGAATTTATCTTACTAGTTTATTCCTACTATATTTTTAAAGTGCTCTTACACAATGTATCTCTTAAAAGTTCATGTTTTCTTGACTTTTAAATTTGAACTTAATCTAGCAACCACAATAAACTCATCAATTCTAATAATTTATTTGCACTACACACTCAATTACTCGGATGCGTGTCACAACTCTGCCCAGAAACCATTTCAGGTAGTACACCATACCAAGAAACCATTTCAGGTAGTACACCATACCAAGAAACCGTTTCAGGTAGTACACCATACCAAGAAACCGTTTCAGGTAGTACACCATACCAAGAAACCGTTTCAGGTAGTACACCATACCAAGGAACCATTTCAGGTAGTACACCATACCAAGGAACCATTTCAGGTAGTACACCATACCAAGGAACCATTTCAGGTAGTACACCATACCAAGGAACCATTTCAGGTGGTACACCATGCCAAGAAACCGTTTCAGGTAGTACACCATACCAAGAAACCGTTTCAGGTAGTACACCATGCCAAGGCATTTAAACCACCAGCATCAGCATCTCCCCTCCTCACAAGTTTTCCAAAAACCATTAAGAATGTTAACAAATATTACCAGACAAGATTGAGTTTCAAAAACAAAATGCTAAAGACAGTACAAAAATGAGAAAGAAGAGTAGTCAGCGGGTCTTAGGGGCACAGGTTAAACTACTTCGCCCTGTGGGTTCAGAGTAGATAACTGCTTGTATTTTTTAAGAATGTATATCATAATATTGATTTTAAACTACTTTATTATCTTAAGTTGATTAAAGATGGACTGACAGGAGCTTTTACTTTAAATCTAGTTTCAAAAACAAACAAACAAACGAAAAAACCAGCACTTTACTTATAAGTGGATTTACCAGAACATAAATGTTTTATCTTCTACAGGCTTACAGTAAAGGCATAAAACTCCTGACAAAAAAGCATTTGCCTATAAACTCTATTCATGAAAAGTTGCTTAGTGTTCATGGTTTCATGCTGTCCAAGAATTTCCATAAAAGAGGGAACAAAATGGAATATTCTGGAATATTTCAATAGGGAATGGGACTGATTTACACCAAAAGAGAAACATTTAATGGAACATTTGAAACATCCTGAATTAGATAAGGAGCACTTCTACCTAGATACTCCCTACCACCACATGAAATAAAGCTGAGTTTCAAGACACTCTTTATGAGTATTAAAAATATTTCTGTTTTTTATCATAAAAGCTATATACAGCGAACCAATAGCCAACATCAATATGAATGGAGAGAAACTCTAGGCAATGCCTCTAAAATCAGGAACAAGGCAAGGCTGTCTCCTCTCCCCATACCTCTCCAATATCGTACTGGAAGTTCTAGCTAGAGCAATAAGACAACAAAAGGAGATCAAGGGGATACAAATTGGAAAGGAAGAAGTAAAACTTCCACTATTTGCAGATGATATCATAGTTTATATTAAGTGACCCAAAAAACTCTACCAGGGAACTCCTACAGCTAAAAAACACCTTCAGTAAAGTGGCAGGATACAAGATCAACTCAAGAAAATCAGTAGCCCTACTATATACAGACGATAAAAGGGCTGAGAAAGAAATCAGAGAAACGTCACCCTTTACAATTGCCACAAACAACATAAAATACCCGGGGGTAACACTACCCAAACAAGCGAAAGACCTGTATCCCAAGAACTTTGAGTCTTTCAAGAAAAAAATTAAAGAAGACACCAGAAAATGGAAAGATCTCCCATGCTCTTAGATAGGTAGGATCAATGTAGTAAAAATGGCAATCCTACCAAAAGCAATCTACAGACTCAATGCAATCCCCATCAAAATCCCAGCACAATTCTTCATAGACCTTGAGAACAATTCTCAACTTTATATGGAAAAACAAAAACCCTGCTCAGCAAAGCAACATCTGAAGGCATCACCATCCCTGACGTCAAGCTCTATTATAGAGCTATAGTCCTGAAAACAGCTGGGGATTGGCACAAAAAATAGACAGGTAGACCAATGGAATTTAATTGAAAACCCTGAGATTAATCCACAAACCTATGAACACCTGATTTTTGACAAAGAAGCTAAAATTATACAATGGAAAAAAGAAAGCATCTTCAATAATAGGTGCTGGCATAACTGGATATTGGCATGTAGAAGACTGCAGATAGATCCATGTCTATCACCATGCACAAAACCTAAGTGGATCAAAGACGTCAGCATAAATCCAACCACACTTAACCTGTTAGAAGAGAAAGTGGGAGGTACCCTTGAAAGAATTGGTACAGGAGACCACTTCCTGAACATAACACCAGTAGCACAAACAATGAGATCGACATTAATGGACCCTCCTGAAACTGAGAAGCTTCTGTAATGAAAAGGACACAGCAAGACAAAAAGATACCCCACAGATTGGGAAAAGGTATTTACTCACCCCATATCTGACAGAGGGCTGATCTCCAAAACACCAAAGGATCCAATTAAAAAGTGGGGGACTGAACTAAGTAGAGAATTTTCAATAGACGAGTATAAAATGGCTGAGAGACACTTAAGAAAGTGCTCAACATCCTTAGCCATTAGGTAAATGCAAATCAAAACAACTCTGAGATCTCATCTTATTCTTGTTAGAATGGCTAAAATGAATAGCACCAATGACAGTTTATGCTGGAGAGGATGTGGAGAATGGGGAACACTCCTCCATTGCTGGTAGGAGTGCCAACTTGTGCAGCCACTTTGGAAATCAGTATGGAGATTCCTTAGGACAGTGGGACTCAGTCTACCACAAGACCCAGCAATTCCACTCTTAGGCATATACCCAAAAGATGCCCATTCACACAACAAGGATGTCTATTCCACTATGTTCATAGCTGCATTATATGTCATAGCTAGATCCTGGAAGCAACCTAGATGCCCCACAACTGAAGAGTGGATACAGAAAATGTGGTACATTTACACAATGGAGTACTACTCAGTGGAAAAACACAACGGAATCTTGAAATTTGCAGGCAAATGGATGGCACTAGAAGAAACCATCCTGAGTGAGGTAACCCAGTCAAAAAAAGGGAAACATGGTATGTACTCACTCATATATGGATTTAAGATGTGGATCAGGGGGTTGTCAGCCTACAATCCCAGTGCCAGTGAGTCTGGGACACAGGGAGTTTCCCAAGAGAGATGCATGATACCCCAGAGGAGTGGAATGAGCCAAGATCTCCTGAGCAGATTGGGAACATCGGGCAAGAGGAGAGGGAACCAGGAAAAAGAGAGGGGGGATAAGAGGAAGGGAGAAGAAGGCATGGGGGAACAGGAAGGCTGAATCGAGGTAAGAATAGAGGCGAGCAGGATGAGAGAAACCATAACAGATGGAGTCATTATAGGCTTGAGGAGAGAGGTGACACTAGAGTTCTCCTGACATCTACAAGGATAACACTAACTGGAAAGCTAAGCAATAGTGGAGAGACTACATAAATAGCCCCTTCTTGATGATAAGGTTGATGACTACCTTATATGCCATCCTAGAACCTTCATCCAGTGACTGATGGAAGCAGAGACAGATACCCACAGCTAAACACTGAACTGAACTCCTAGAACCCAGTGACAGAGATGGAGGAGTGATAAACAAAAAGGTCAAGATCGTGCTGGTGAAACCCACAAAGACAGCTGACCAGAAAAGGGGGAACTCTCGAATCCCAGATTGATGCTTGAGAGGCCAACAGGGGGCTGATCCAGACTCCATGAATGTAGTGCCAGTGAGGAGGCCACAGAAATCTCTGGGCCTTGGGATCAGTGCTTACCATGATGTATGAATGAACTTTGGGAGCCCAATCCAAATAGAGGGAGGCTCTCTCAGCCTGGACAATTGAGGAAGGGCCTACGTAGGTCCTGCCCTGGATGAAATGACAGACTCTGGAAATCCCCCCAAGGAAGGCCTCACCCTCCCTGGGGAATGATATGGGGGCTGGGGGAGGAACTGAGGGGGTTGTTGGAGGGACAAGGGAGGAGGGGGTAGGAGAGGGAGCTGGGATTGACAAGTGAAGCATTCATGTTTCTAATTTAAATAAAGACATATATTGAGGGGGAAAAAAGGTTGATTCTGAAGAATATAATTTAAAACAGCCACACAGCTGACAGTCCTATTGTTTATGATGTCCATTTAATTTCATTATTTTGTTTGTGTAAGTAAACCAGTACTTCCATCCATCTCTTGAACAGCGAGATGCAGGTCCAGAGAAGTAAGGTGCAGGTGCTCTCTCCCATGGCTCTGTCCCCTTCATCCTTTCTGTAAGCAAGCCCCATGTCAGAGTCAGCGATATGCAAGATCCCAATTTAACCACTTGACTTGTACTGATGCCTGAATCTTCCTACCCGAGTTCTGAGATAGGTTCAGTGCTACAACCACATTTTCCAGAAAATTGAAACACATGGTGTTAAATAACTTGTCTAAAGTCACAAAACTTAGTAAGTGGTTGAGTCAAGATGTTTAATTCTCAATGTGTGCTCTTAACCAGTAAGTTTTTTTATGCTTTTTAATAAACTTTTAAATGCTTTTAAAGTTAGTACTATGCAGGAAAAATAGGAAAAAATATCTATATTAAGTCTTAAGCACATCACCAAACTCAGGAGACAGGTAGTAGGAGTAAAGAAATGTTCAATTGCCCATGTCAATTGGAACAAATTATGTGGCCAAATTATTCAAAGTAGCATGGTTTAAATTTCTGATACTGATACCCGATTGAAGTATGTAATACTGGGCTAGGGATATGATCCATTAGTACAGTGTTTGCCAGTCAAGCATGGGTCCATGCTAGACATGGGGTTCCCAGCACCCATGTTTGTAACTCCAGTGCTGGGAAGGTGAAGACAGGCAGATCCCTGGTGCTCATTGGCTGGCCAGCCTAGCCAAAATCCACGAGCTCCAAGTGCAGTGAGAAGGTGGCCAGCAACGGAAAAAGACACCCAAGCACCTACATGCACCACCCCCCAGAGAGAACATGTAATCTTATAGTAGCATTACATGTAATACAATTTCAAATAACATTATCCATTAATGCAAGAGCTGAATTTGAAGGAACTGCAAAGTTTGCCTGTTGTGCCTCTAAGGAGACAGTAACATGACTGAAAAAACTCAAGGTCGTCTCCAAGGGCAGTGACCTAGGGCTGCAGGCTCTCAAAACCCTTTCCTAGTTTAATTTAAAAGCTTTAGTATATATTTAAATATTTGGTTTAAACAGCTTCCCACAGATTCTAAGAAAAAAGTGTGGGAAATTTACAAGAGTAGAAACAATGCTTACAATCCACATTTCATAACTGTACCAGCAATGGGCCAGCAGATGGCTTGTGGGCAAAGGCAACTGTTGCCAAGGCCAACGACCTCAGTGTGATCACTAGGACCCGCAAGGCAGAAGGAGAGAACTGACTCCCACAAGTGGTCCTCTAAACTCACACGTGCATCTTGGGGAACACGTGAGCGAACACTCACATACACACACACACACACACACACACACACAAATAAAATGTCATATAGTTTTTAAAAATTGTGCCAACAGTAAGCTACAGGATATGCTCATAACCTTCACTATCAGAGTCAGATTTTTATGTAAGATTTAAAAAGCACTAGCAACTGAAAATTCATAGTCCCCAGAGTTTACCTTTGCCATTAAGAGCATGATAAGTCACTGGAAGTAGTAAAATAGCTGATTTGAAATGTAAGCCATCTTTCTGTAACAGGGTAGGAGTTGGAGAACATTAGCTCTGACTCATAGTGCCACCTTGTGGAAACACTGAAGAAGCCAACTTTCAAATGGTTGTTCAATGCTTTATATGACTTCTCAGCTATACAATGGATTCTTAGCATATCAACTGCTCATTTCATCCCAATTCATCCCAGGGGCCCCTGCTCCCTTGCTCCATCTCCCAACATCACGGCCTCTTTTCAAAACCCATGGGTCAATTCTGTGCTGTCCACAGGTGTGTTTCGGAATATACCTTCAAATAGACAAAAAGCAGCAAGCTTGGGAGAACACAGAGTTCAAGTAAACCCAGCACCCACAAAACCCACTACACTGGAGGAATTACTTAATTCAGTATTTTAATTCATAACCATCAAAATAAAAGTCTCCTTAGACAAGTCAGAATCAAATATGAAGTGTTTACTAATTCTAATGACATAAATAACTATCTAAAGTATTAAATCACACACTAAAATTTAAATGATAAGCATTTAACCACTTCAGTTCCAAACATGAGCTCATTAAGGAACTAAATGCACTAAAAAGAAAATTGTTGCACAACAAATTCTATAAACGCTACCATTTGTGGGGAATCAGCAGCAAAGCTGAAGCTACGGAGAGAGTTTCACTCTTACACTTTGATGTGATGCACGAATATCTACATTTCCGTAAATTGTTCCCAGACAGGTCACATTGCCTCCTTTTGTTTGAACATGTAAGTTTTGGCTCTGAAAAACAAAACAAAAAAACACAGAGGGTAGGAAGAGTAAGCTTGCATGATACTACAGAAACATTTTCTTCTGTGCACGTCCATAAAATAACTCAGCAATCAGTTTTAAGGAAAGTATTGAAAAGAGCAAAACAAATTGTCCCCACAAGGGTTTGTCTTACAGTGTGGTTAACTTCATCATGGCACAGATGTAAATCTAAAAACCAAGTTATTAGAATTTTTAGAAAGATCTATTTCCAAAGTAACTCTGCTTTCCTATCTAAAGCTCTTAACTGAAATTAAGTGAATTTCTGGAGTATCTCTGAAATTTATGAAGTTGTAAGAAAACTTTCATATACATGTTCATTTTTTGGAGAGAGAAACAATCACGAGATTTTTTTTTTTTTGAAGAGGCCTAAGGCTTAAAAAACACCAAGCTAGCTATTGTAATCTGACACTCAAACTGACTCCCACACGATGTGGAAATTTTTAAAAAGTGGAAATAAATCAGAAATTTCTGTGCAACATTTTTTTAAAAACGCAGATGTCTGACATTCACTTGCTTTATTCCTTAAGGATGCTGAATAGATGTGACATTACCATGACTCCCTCAGGTAGTAAAGAGCACTGGGGAGTTGGAGCTTGGAAACCACCAACTTAAGGTCAAATCCCAGCTCAACTACTTCAGCTCTGTGAGCTTGAGTGAGTGCATTATTCCGTCTTTTGGTGCCTCCTAGTTTCCACTCTTGATAAATGAAAGATTAACCAGGCTTAGCTGAGATTCTCAGTACATATGAACAATTCATTAGCAGTAATTAGTTTTTTTTTTTTTTTTGGTTTTACAAGACAGGGTTTCTCTGTTTTGGAGGCTGTTGGTCCAGCCTGGCCTCAAACTCACAGAGATCCGCCTGCCTCTGCCTCCCGAGTGCTGGGATTAAAGGCGTGCGCCACCACCGCCCGGCTAGCAGTAATTAGTTATTAAAATGCTACTTTATACATATATAGCCCTATGAAAAGGTAGACATATTAACAGATAATCACTGATTCAAGATAATATTGTACCATATTTTAACAGCCTAAACCAGATAATTTAACAAAGTGCCTGCATTCATGAATGTGAGTTTCTTTCTCTGTGGCTGTGATAAGACACTGACCAAAACCGACACTGGGGAAGAAAGAGTTTTCTTGAATTACAGATTACATCCATCATTGAGGGATGCCGAGGCCAGAACCTGGATGAAAGAATTTCAGCAGAGCCCAGGAAGGAGCGTTCTTATTGGCTTGCTCAGAGTGCTTTCTCACACATCGCAGGGCACCTGTCCAGGGGTGGTATGGCCTAAAGTGGGCTGGGCCATCCCACATCAGTCACTGGTCAAGACAATGCCCACAGACCTGCTACGGGCAGTCAACTCCTCAATCAAGTCTCCCTCTTCAAAGTTGCCTCTAGCTCATGTCAAGTTGCCATAAGCTAACCAGCAGCTCTAGTATCGGCTTTAGTCCTTCTAATTCTTTTTTGAGCAATTTTATTTGTAAAGACTGCTAATTCATGGCTTTTTTTTCTTTCTTAACAAGTCTTCCAGAGAACAAATACAAAATGTACTTTAAAAATAGACTTAAACTCTTACCTATAAAATTCTTATAAATTTAAAGTTAAAAAGGAAACACTACTATTGTGTCTGAAAATATTGTACTGCTTCATTCTTGTAGGAGTTATTCACCATTATTCATTAGTTATTCCCAGTCATGCTTTAGGGAACAAGCATGGCCCACTTCTATTACGGTTTTTCCAACTGGAGACGATCTGTCCCCAGAGGACATGTGGCAATGTCTGGAAACAGTTCTCCCTTTCACAACCAAGGTGTGTCTCAGTGGCATCTGAGAGGCAGAGGCTAGGATTTGCCACTAAACATCCCACATCCAATAGGATCCAAAGAAAACCCCCATGCCCAAAACGGCAACAATGCTGTGGGTGAAGAAATGATTGTATTTACACCCACGGTGGCAAGAAGAAACAGAACTGACAGACTCAGATCTCCCAGGCCACCAGTTGAAAGTATGAACACGAAGAGACAGACAGCAGCAGCAGACTAGAGTCGGGACCCAAACGTGAAGCCTACAAAATTAATTCATCAAAACTAGAGCATCACTGAGCAGTTAAGTATTTCTAAGGGAGAGAAGAAATTACAGTGCTCTTGACCAGTTAGTCAGGCAAGACGAAGACTCCACTGCATAATTATACATATGTGAATCAAATATATATATGAGCCAAACTATATGCTAAAAAGTCTATCTGAGTCTTTTATGAAGATTATACAACTACATTCTTTTAAGCGGCCTCACATGTAGACAGGTGTAAAAAGCAGGTGCCCAGATAAAGATGGACAAATAAACAAATGGGCAACACAGAAGTATCAACCATTCAGATTAATGGTTAGAGCACTGCAGTTACAATACAGAGACGACCAAGTTCAACAAAGTGTATCAGAGTATTATGCTTTCACCCCGCAAATGCTACAACAATTAGAAATTGTTGTGGATTATTATTCTAACCCGGAAAAGACACGTTGTTTATGCTGTGGAATATTACTTTAACTATGTGAAGCTGTGTTCCATTTGTCTGCACTATATTTGTTTAACTATGTAAAGATGGGCTGCATTTGTTTCACCTTGCCTGCCTAAGGCACCTGATTGCCCTAATAAAAGCTAAACAACGAATAGGTAGGCAAGAGAGAGACAGACAGAGTCGGTTGGCGGAGAGAATGAGGGGGGGAGATCTCGGCTCGAAAGAGAAGAGAACGAGGGAGAAGGCGAGGAACACAGCTAGGGCGAGAAGCCAGTCAGCCACCAGCCATGAGAAGCAGTGAGAGAAAGATATAGAGAAGGAAAGAAGGGTAGAAAGGCCTGAGGCAAGATGTAGACAAGAGAAACAGGTTATGCTATGAGAGCCGGCAAGGAAGGAGCCTAAAGCAAGGCTGAGTACTCGTAACTAATAGTGTGCATCCATGTCATGACTGGGAGCTGGTTGGTGGCCCCAAAAAGAAAACCTGCTACAAAAATCCCAGCAAACTCCCTAACAGAGGGATAATTTTAAACATTTATGGCTAAGATCAATCTTATTTAAAAAAATACAGTGTAAAATTGTTAATTATAAAATAAGACAAATCATCTGTTGTTCTGAAAAACTGGCTGCTTAGCACTCCAGGAAAGAACTTCTGGAATGTTAAAAAATGAGCTAAAGAGCCATATTTTAAGCAGTTATAGTGCATAAAGACTTTCTTTATTCTTTAGTAAGCAGAAGAAAATGTTGCAAAACTAATTTTTTTAATATACTTTGGAGTTTCACGACACTTTGAAATGACATCTAAAAATAATAAAAAGAAAAAGGAAGAAAGAAAGGAAGAAAAAGAAAGAAAGAAAGAAAGGAAGAAAGAAAGAAAGAAAGAAAGAAAGAAAGAAAGAAAGAAAGAGTAAGACCTTCAAAGTCAGGCCCAACCATTTGTCCTTGTAAGGCAAATTTTTTCGAAGACTTTCTAAAAGATGAGTGACAATCACCTGAATAACAAACGAAGCCTTGCAGTTTGGTTCTGTGCTAGAGTTTAAGCTATTTTTGCCACTGGAGCACAGTGAGAGACACTCCTACCTTCACAGACTGCAAGACGCTGGTCCCCTGCGCAGTGTCAATTTTACAGCTGTCACATTCAATATTCTGCACCTTTACAGAGCCAGACCCTGAAGACTCGATACTCAGATCTGGAAGCAAGGGCAGAAGGGAGGAAAAGGCAGGGCCTCGTCAGATACACACTGCAGTAGGTGGATCCGTGTATGTGACCCTGATCCAGGCTTTAAAGTTCTACTCCTGCCTTTCACAAGCCCCAAATGGAAATACTGCCTTACAGATATTTCACAGGGTACTTGAGATAATTTTTAATAACCAGAACCATTGTTAAAAACCTAGTGATAAGAATTAAAATACAACGTGGTAGATAAATGACAGTGTTTCGGGAAAAGAATGAAAAGTAGGGAATCGCAGGTGGCATTCTGAGCTGTACAAAGCCAGCCTGCTCTACATACTGGCCTCTGTAGAGAGACTCTGTCTCAAAAGACAAAACAGACAACTAAACAAGAATTTCTAAACAGCAAAAATGAATATGCAATTCAATTAACATTAATGATTTCCAGAGTGTAGAAATAAAGACTGTGGCCGTGATGAAACACTGGCCACATCCATTTGGGGAAGGAAAGGTTCATCTCCTAGCTTACAGTCCATCATGAACTCAGGGCAGGAACTGCAACACTCACCATGATACTCTCAGCATGCTTTCTTTATACCAGCCACAACAACCACAGGGGTTGGGCCCTCCCACGTCAATAATTAATCAAGAAATACTTCACAGACTGGCCTACAGGCCAGTCTGGTGAAGGTATTTTTTTCAACTAAGGCTCCCTCTTCCAGGTGACTCTAGCTTGTATCGAGCTGCTAAAAATGAATGAATGAATAACCAGCACAACTATGTTCCCCAAAGCAAATTATTGGGACGCAATGCCACAATTTTAATAGCTACAGTAAGACTTTCCCCAGATGCATGGCAATGGTTTAAATTAGCAACAACACAGAGTGAGGGGATGTAGAAGACATAAAGTCAAACACTGATAGGAACAGAACTGCACAGCTTACTTCCCAACTGAATCTTGTCACACGTCCAGAAATAAGGGAGACCTGACAACTATACAGTTGAGGAATGGGACTCTAAACACACTGTGCTCCTTGGGAAGTTAGAAGATCTGAGGCTAGACACAGCAGTAGTAATGCCATGTTCACTGAGTCACTCTTTCACAAGTTGTAAGAGCAAATGATAAAATTAACTATACAGATTTGAGAGACCTATGGGACAGAGGCATGGAGACAGTTAACTGGTAACAGGCTTCTGGTTATAAGTAATGATGAGATTTGAGATTAACACAGGGTAGCATCTATTTTCACAGGTGCTGCTTTAAGTTTTGTTTGGCTCTCACTGATACCCACCTGTTGTGGTTTGAACCAAAATGTCCCCAAAAGGGAGTGGCACTATTGGGAGGTGTGGCCTTGTTGGAGGAAGTGCGTCACTATGGAGGCGGGCTTTGAGGTCTCCTAAGCTCAAGCTACACCCAGTGAGACAAACCACTTCCTGTTGCCTGTACAAGATGTAGAACTCTCAGCTACCCCTCCAACACCTTCTCTGTTTGCACGTTGACATGTCCCACCATGAACTGTAGGTCACCCAATTAAATGTTTTCCTTTATAAGAGTTTCTGGGGTCATGGGATCTCTTTACAGAAACCCTAAGACACTGCCTTGATCTGTATTGTGGTAAAGGCCCCTCAGCACCTTCAAATTAGTCCATGTGGAGGGCACAGCCTCTTGCTCATCTACGTTAATCAGATGAGAAGCCACTCCAGTCAGCTCAAATACTAGCCCCATCTCTTTGCATTTAAGGTGGAAAGGTGGCTAGAAAGTCAATTTCCCTACGCTGAGGGTTTTATCATTTGTTCTTACAATATTTTATGATACTTCCTATATCTCAATTTTCTCATCTGAAATGGTGACAGTAAAAGAATCTACTCTATGGAGCAACTATAAGGCTTAATAAAAATAACCGTTTAAGAGGTAAATAATGTTATTATGATCACCATCAGCCTTCAGCTCCAGGAATGAGGGCCTGGAGAACCCTTCCTAGAAAAGCATGTGTGCACTAGCATCTGGGAAATAATGGGACCCAAACACCTAAGAAATAAGTTTTTCAGGTACCATTATAAATTTTTCCAGGCAGTCTTACTTACTATTTGTCTTGCCTTAAAGCTTGCAACTGCCAGAGAATTTACTTATGCCTAAAAGCATGGACACCTAATAGCTTGGGTATCTGCCGGAAAGCAAGTATTTTTTTTTCTAGGCTAGTTATGAGGCATCTACACACAGAGCTGACTAGGAACAGAGCTCCAAGATGCGAACAAGGTGGACACCAAGCCACTGAATGCGTTACCAAGAAACCTCAACCCTGAACGACGAACCGTTTTGCTAGTGACTGTGACAAGGCACAACACAGGCTCCAAATGTAACTAGACTCAGATTATTCCAATCCATGCTTCCATTCGGTTTTAAGTTTTCTGCTTAACTGGAGAAAATTATTTTAAATGTCGTTAGACACCATGCAGGAATCCTGGATGTGCCAAGGAAATTAGAGAGCAGGATGGCAGGAAACCCAAGACCCAAACCAGCTTTCCGTCCACTTGCCAAAGGTGGGGGGCGCGTCCACCTCCACCGCCGCCCGCGGGTCGATGTCGTCCGACAGGACGGCCACCTCCTGCCGAGCCGCGTCGTACTCCACCCGCAGGCCGTCCAGGCCGCTCGCCCCGCGCCCCGCGCCGCACACCGCCACCCGCACGCGGCCGCCGTCCCGGGCCGCCAGGGGATCCAGGGGCCTCACGAGCAGGCGGCACGGCAGCCGCGTCCTCAGCCGTCCGAACGGGCCCACGGGCAGCGTCCACTCCCTCACGGCCTCCTCGGGGGCCGATGCCCGCCACCCCGCGTCCGAGCCGCGCCTGCGGGCCCCTAGAGCCCCGAACCAGGCGCCCGCCCGCGCCCGGGGCGCGCCAGGCAGGAGGCGGCGGAACATGCCCGCCGCCCTCGGGCCCCGGCCGCGCAGAGCGGGAAGCAGCCGGGCACCGGCCTCAGCGCTGCGCCGAAGGACCGGGCTGCCGGGGGCAGGACCAGCCCGGTAAAAATGCTACCGCTTCAAAGCACCTGGTTAAAACCCCGACCCGGACTCTGACTAGTTCCTCCCCTTGGCGGAGGCCGCCGGGATATGTAGTTGTAAAGGCATCGGACATCAAAGCACTCTGGCGGCTTTGAAACTACATATCCCAGGAGACAGTGCGCCGAACAGATCAGAGTGACATGAGCCGATTGGTAGGAAAGCCTACCCGTTGCTTCAAGCTCATTGGCCAAGAGATCCAACCGACCAATGGGAAGACTGGAAGGGGCTGTGCTCGTCCGTGCGGCTGCCTTGGATACCAAGGACGCGACTTGCTCCGAGAGTGTGGAGTTTCGGAGTGAGACGCCCCAGGAACTAAAACCCACACAGAAAAATAAGAGACTAAAAAAGCATCGGGATCAAGGGAAAGGGTAAGAAACGGCGTGTTTACAGATGGGAAGTAGGAGCAGAGTTGCCCTTGGTAGGCTGGGTCCCCTGGCACCGGAGACGCCCTCGGCAAGAGAGAGCAGACCTGGTACTCTGCTGTCCCCGTCTCCTCTGTCCTTTAAGAGACCTCCCTCGGCAAGAGAGAGCAGACCTGGTACTCTGCTGTCCCCGTCTCTGTCCTTAAAGGGAGCTCCCTCTGACCTAGAAAGCTCTAGATAGGAAAGAGTGTTGGAAGCCTGGGTCTTTCCTAACTGTAAGTAACCTCAAGTTATCCAGTGCCTTTAGGTTTTCCTGTATTCTAGTTAAATCACGACAACAGTATCTCCCTTGCCTTCTGTGGAAGCGCTTTTACAAGGATCAGTTGAAACTACAGTTGGCAAAGGGGTGCACAGTCTACAAAACAATTAAAGTAGTACTTTAGGAATAGCATTGTTTCTCGGTTGCTAGGAAATTTTGAGACATTTGATCTTGTTTAGAGAACAGCATAGATCTCGTTCACTACAAATGACCCTCAGCCTTAGTGTTAAAGAAAAAAATAAAAGCTTTTTTTTTTAACTATAAGACTTGTGAGGGTGTATCAGATTATTTTCCTGGCCCTATTGCCTTATCTGGGTCGCGGGGACCCATTCCTTCAGTTTTGGTGTAAAGATAGAATGTACTAAATAACTCTACAGGGCTTCTTTCCCTCTTTATTATTTAAGTAGGCAGTGAAAGTGTGGGGTGCGGCCATTATTTCGCCCCGGCTTGCCTAGTCTCTCTCACTTTCTACAAACAATCCCGTAAAGTCCTTACGTACAAATAGATAGGCTTAATAGGATGCAAGTCCTACATAGTGGTGTTCACTTTCAATCCTCCAGCATTTGCAAAGCTGAGGCTGAGGATTTCAAATATGAGGTCACCCTGGACTACATAAAGAGAACTCTGTCTCGAAAAATAAAAATAAAATGGTACCTTTAAAGATAGAAGCCCTCGGCCAAAATGAGGACCCCAAATCTTGGGACCTGAAGTAACAGAGAGACTGGTAGCCTGATCTACAGTATCATTCCTTTTGTGAAGGTTCTGGTAGTGGCATTGCTGCAGCCCAGATATGCTTCCAGCAGCCTGAGAAGTCCTCTTGCCCTTAGGGACTTCCACTGAGGTGAAGCCCCTTCTTGACTTCGCTGCAAAAATTAATGTTGGAATAAGTTAGTATGAAAGAGAGTTGGAATTGATAAGAGAATTTAAACAAGATTTCCGCAGATAGGGGTTGACAGAGGTGATCACTGGGGAAAATGAGACATCTTCAAGAACGCTGGTGTAGGCTTTTCAAAGGACATTATACCCTCAAGTGTCTTAGTCACTCTTCTGGTGACTCTCAAGTTACACCTCAGAAGACTTCTTAGCAAAGTCTTTAAAACCTTTTCTCTCTTTCAATAAGTTAGATTGTTGGATGGCTCTGGAGGTGTCATCCTAAAATAAAACCATGTGTCATAAGAATTGTACAAGAGGGTATTAAGACATATCCTTTACTGTAGACAGGGTTTTCTGAGATTCCTAGAAAATGGCTCGTTTATAGCTGAGAAAGAAGAAAGGCCACATGTATTAGGTCTTGGATGTGATTCATTGCTGTTTCAACATTCTAACTTGGAAATATCTTTATATAAAAGAAATATTACCTTTCTATTGGCACCCTTCATAAGTAATGTTGCAACTGTGTCAGAATTCATGATTTTCAGCTGGTGAGAGGCATTGGTCACACTCTGAAATGAAGGCTCCTTCTCCATCTCATGTCTCCACCATTTCTATGTTTCTAGCCTGCCTTTGGAAGATATAAAATACATTTTAGGCTAAGCAATAGCCCACTCCATGAATAATGTCCTTGGCTTTGTGTTTTATGTGGACATAATTCTCAGAGTAGTCTTCAAATTATCTTTTTATGAAAACCCATAGGCATATTTTTGCAAATATGAAAAAGGCACAAGCTAGTTGACAATGAACTCAGATTTGCAGTGTAATTGCTAGATATAATTAGAATAAAAATGCATCCATAATAAACTATCCTGTTTCTATAGAATTCTGAGAAAAATTAAATTAATAGAATTGCCAACTGAGCCCTAATGGTATATGTGGCACAATCATTATTTCATTACTTTCAAATAAAGGCACTAAAACTTATTGAAAATTACATTTCTGGTTTATGAGGTTATAAGTGAGACTCTGATATTAAGATTGACGTTATCAACACCTAACACTTTAATATATATCACATGTAAATAGTGACTAAGAAACACCATTTTTAAAAACATGCTTATGTACATCATCTCCCTGTATTCTCACAAAACGCTGTTAAGAATGATGGCTGTTGCCGGGCGGTGGTGGCGCACGCCTTTGATCCCAGCACTCGGGAGGCAGAGGCAGGCGGATCTCTGTGAGTTCGAGGCCAGGCTGGACCGACAGCCTCCAAAACAATACAGAGAAACCCTGTCTCGAAAAAAAAAAAAAAAGAATGATGGGGTTACTCTCCAAGAATGACACATAAGGAAACAGATTCAGAAACAGAAGATGAAGCCATTATGATGCAGAAATTGTGGGTTTGGGTGATGACAGCACAAAATTATGAATGTACAAGATTTTTGTCTTATAGGGCTACTTGTAGGTAGAAATGATTTAATTATCTAAATTCTCCCAAATAAGATAGTGATAATTAAATTGACTATATATTGATAATGCTATAAAGCAATTTAAAAATTATATTTTGAAGGTGAGTCAATTATATAGGAAATAATCAATAATATTGGCTAAAGAGCACATACCTTTATGTATAGCTCAATCTCAATTCTGTAATAACAATAATAAATTTAATACAGAATTATATCCCTAGAAACAATTTCAAAGGGTATACAGCACTTTATAATGGTAGTTATCTCTAAGCAGTGAGGTTGAATGATTATATCATGTTATCAGTAGTGAACATGTTTTGCATTTTAATAAGGAAAAAGTAAGGACTTCTTAGAATGTACTGACCCCTAAGACCGTCTCAGAAATTCAAGAAATTTCTTTTTTTTTTTTTTGTTTTTGTTTTTTGTTTTTACGAGACAGGGTTTCTCTGTATTGTTTTGGAGGCTTTCAGTCCAGCCTGGCCTCGAACTCACAGAGATCCGCCTGTCTGCCTCCCGAGTGCTGGGATCAAAGGCGTGCGCCACCACCGCCTGGCTAAGAAATTTCTTAGACAGAAATATGAATGCAGGTGTGTAGAGTGTTTCCTACCAAATAAATGTGCATGGTAGTGACCATTATTACCTCATGTCAATTTGTGGACAGCAGAGGGCGTGAGAGGTTTCAGGAGAAACAGTAATCAGATCAAGGATTCAGTAATTGAGCTAAAGGGAGCCCACCAGACTGTGCTCATGTTCTGATCATAATCCACCTTAAAACAAATACCTCTTAGGATTTGTTATTCTTGTGAGATATTAATACTCAAAAAACTAATAACCATCGCTTCTGAGAAGTATTTAATGGATCTGTAGGTAGAGCCATATGAAATCTCTGTGTGAAACTACAAGTAGAGACACTTAGGTTTTCACCTTGTGTTGGTGTGTGTGTGTGTGTGTGTGTGTGTGTGTGTGTGTGTGTGTGTGTGTGTGTGGCTGCACTGGCTAAACAGCCTTGTGATACTGCACTGAGTGGTGAGAGCGAGCTCAAACTTGGAACCTCAGGGGAAGCGCTTGTCATCTCACAGGCAGCCATGAAGTCTGGTGCTGAATTTTCAGATGCTCCCTCGAAGAGGTTTAATTCCTAGTTCACCTTTTATTTTAGTGATACTGTATTTTAAATGATTTTTCTGCATGCATTGAGATGATCAGTCTTTTTGAAATGTACTGTTGTGGTTTCTCACAATAAGTAAGCCTTTAAATGTTAAATCATTTTCATTCCCTGACTGTAATTTGTTGTTATGTTTTCTGTATAAGTTGGTAGATTCAGCTAATGGCTTATGAGAATTTTGTATTTCATATTTATATGGGTTATTAGTCTGAAATTTTCTTTGATGTCTTTTCTTTCTTTAGGTATCAGGGTAAATTAGGGGCAAGTGTTCTGTTTTTTCCTTTTGTGAGATAATTGGAGAGAATTGGTATTTGTTTTACTAAAAAATAAATGTTCTTTCTTTATATGAAATCTTCAATTTATAAATCAGTAGTCTTGCCCTATTTTCTGTCTAGTTTCTGGAACTCTTAATTAGATACGTGTGCAATTTGCATTCACTCATTTATGCAGCTTAGCTGTGTTTACACGCTGTGCACTCTCTTCATTCTTGAACACCATTCTGGCTGATGTCGCAAATCTGTGTTCAAATCTGCTAATTCTTTCCTGTCCTTAGCTACTCTTGTATCTAATGTCCCTATTGAGTTTTCTGATTTCTAAACTGGCTTTATTTAGTTTAATGTATATGAACATTTTGCTTGAATGCTTGTCTGCGCACCTTATGAGCGCCTGGTGCCTGTCGAGGTCAAAGGAGGGTATTAAATCCCCTGAAACTGGAATTACAGATAGCTGTGAGCTCTCCCATGAGTGCTGGGAATCCAGCCCAGGTCCTCTGCAAAATTGAGGAGTGTCTTAGCTGCTGAGCTGCCTCTCCAGCCCTACCTTTTCTTCCTCACGGCTGTGTCTTCATCTTTGGCTTTTCCACGGAAGTTTTCTCTTTTAAACTGCCCTGTGCAGTGTGGCTCTTCTTAGCCTCAGTTGTGTCTCCTTTAACTATTTTGAAATTCAGTTATTACAGTACACCCTGTTTGCAGGTTGCTCTTTCTGCTTTGTTGATATCCCAATCATGGTACTTTATTTTCTGTCATGATTAGCAAAGTGGCTTATTCCTAAAGAATCATACAATGAAATTAACACATTTTGCTAAATATCTGACTTAAGAATTAAGATGCTCTCATTGTGTTTTCTTTTTTCCTTATTTATGTGTGGCCTTCACTCTGTGGAGGGCTGAATTGAGAGCTATGAG